ACGATCTATGCAAAGAGGTCAACGTGCTGATGAAATAAGAAGTCATTTCGCTAGAGATAAAAGTCTTTCACGAAGACGTAGTATTACCAATAATCGTGCTGCAAGAATGAGTAAAAGGAGTGGTTTACTCAGACAAATTACTCCAAATAATGTACCTATGGAAATGTCTTGTTCAATAGAATCTAGACCTTCATCTCCATTTAGTATGAGACATTCTCGAACTACTTCTCTGCAGACTAAGACAGAAATAAGTTCAGTTTCCCTTCAACATATGAGGCAATTGCTACGTCAATTTTTAAAAGAATCTGAAATAGATTTATCTGAAGGTTGGGAAGATGTAATAATGGATTTAATGACAAAAGTTGCTGATAATTTAAATCCAAATGTTCGTAATGGTGATGAAATTGATATTCGACATTATGTAAAAATTAAAAGAATTCCTGGTGGTACACCTCAAGATTCTGAATATATTCATGGTGTTGTATGTTCAAAAAATCTAGCACATAAACAAATGCCGAGAATAATTCAAAACCCTCGAGTTCTTATTTTAACTTTTGCTTTGGAATATCATCGCGTAGAGAATCAATTAATGTCTCTGGATCCAGTAATTGCTCAAGAAGAGGAGCATTTACGTCTCTTAGTCAATCGAATTGCTGCATTACGTCCTCATTTAGTTTTAGTTGAAAAAACTGTTGCTCGTAAGGCTTTGCAAATGTTATTAGAAAAAAATATCGCAGTAGCACTGAATGTTAAACCTTCTGTTATTGAAGCTGTCGCTCGTTGTGCACGAGCTGATATTCTTCAATCTATTGATAAGCTTGCCTTAGAACCAAAATTGGGAAATTGTGGAACATTTTTGGTTAAAACTTTTGATCATCAACTTATTCCAGGACGACGAAAGACATATTTATTCTTTGAAAAATGTCCTAAAGATTTAGGTTGTACTATTGCTTTACGAGGAGGAAATATAGAAACTCTTGAAAAAGTAAAACGTATCGCTGATCTCATGGTATTCGTGGTTTATAATTTAAAATTAGAGACTGCTTTAATAATAGATCAATTTGCAAGAACTCCTGATTTTATTGAACAAGTTAATTTTAGTAATGATGATTATTTTTCTCCTAAATGTGATGAATTGGATCCCTTAAAAATATATGAAACAACTATACTTTCAGTGTCTCCATTTATTAAATTTCCACCACCTTATTTATTGACAAGAATGAAACAAGCTGAAAAAAAGCTTGGAGATTTGATACAGAAACGTAATTGGCATTCAGCTAAAGACAATGATAAGCCACATTCGTCATCTTCTGCTTCTGTCAGTCTTTCAGGCATTTTACGTACCCCTGAGCAAGTTATAGCTGAAGCAGAATTCGCTGATGCTGCCCAGGATCATATGTTTCAAGTGCGCGCTTGGGAATCCTATGAATATAATAACGTTGTTAGTCCATATGCACATCAAAATATATCAGTATTGTTTTCTAAAGTTTGCACTGTAAATTCAACACCATGTGGTGATCCCGAGATTTTGGTTATGGAATATTATCGTGAATCTGATCGTACACTTGGGCAATATTTAGAAGAAATGAGTTCAAGATCCGCTTATTTATGCGGTACATGTGATCGACCGCTATTAATGCATTATCACAGTTTTTGTCATGGAAATTCACGAATCACTGTATATATCGACGAAAATGTAGGGCACCCTCACTTGAACGTGGATCAAATTTTCATGTCTACTCATTGCAAAATATGTAATGCTGAAACATCACAAACACCACCAACATTAATGAGTGAAGATACATGGAAATATTCATTTGGAAAGTATTTAGAACTTTCTTTTTATCAAACAGAAGTTAGGGGCCGTCTAGAAAAATGTTCACATAATGTTTTTCGTGATCATGAATTATATTTTCATCTTAATAAACATACGATTAGATTTCAACATGAACCAATTGAACTTTTAGAAGTATATGCACCACCTATGAATCTTTATACAAAACCTGAAGTTCACATTCGTCTTAAAAATCATGATTTAGATTCAATTCGACATAAAATTTCTAAATATTGGGATTCAGTAGCTGATAGAATAAAAAATTTCAATTTTGAGATTGTTCAACCTGATAAGGTTGAAATGTGTAAACAAGAATTATTAGAAATGTCTCGAAGAGTTGTGACAGAAAAGAAATTTATGCTTCAAAAACTTCAACAAACTTATGTTAATAGTCCACCTGAAGATACCTTAGCATTAAATAATGTATTATGCGTTCTTCAGGATAAAGTTGCAGCTTGGGATAAAGATTTTAATGATATTGCTCGACAGTATTTCCGATTAACTGCGAAACAGCTAAGGAGATTTTTTGTTGATAATCATGAAGCGATTACTTTACGTGGTTATTCGAATTCATTTTTCGATGAATTGCCACTAATAAGTATGGATCTCGACACTATATTAGACTCTTCTAAGTCTGATAATATTGGTCCTACAATTATTCCAAAGTTAGGAAGTTCACCTACAGTGGAACTTATTTTAAGTGGACTTAAAGAATCAGATTTCTTCCCTGAAGGAGAAATTGAAAGTCTTGAAAATGACATAGAAAAAGTCGCCTCACAATTATATTTATTTCCGTCCATGGATCCAAAGGTTGTTAGGCGTTTATCAATGAAATGGATGCAAGAAAATAAATCATGGCAAAGGCAAGCGGTAGGCCGTACAGCATCTGAATCAATTTTTCCAGCTATTAGCGACAAACAAGAGGAATGTGATTTTACTCAACCAACTGAAATACCTCGTATAGTACCAACTACTGTTAAAAAAAGACACAATACTTCACCTTCCTTACTCATGTCTTCAGATTCGCATAATTCGACTGGACGTAGTAGTAATAGGCATAGCCGTATATTATTATCACAAGTAACTACAAAAGCATCATCATCAACATCATCATCATCACCATCATCACCATCATCAGCATCATCATCTCAAATTAGTATACTACAATCAGTATTAGAGAAAGATAAAGAAACTAATGTACAAGAATATTCGTCAACTAAAAGGGTACAAGTTCATCCCAAGAGAAATCAAAGTGCAACTTCTGAAAAATCCGGAATTCCTCGTCAAAATTCAAAATATAGCAGGGCACCGGCGTTTAAACACACACCATCTGATAGTTTTGGACTTTCTGCCGTAAGATCTCATGAAAATAAAAAAAGTAAATTAGCTGGACTTTATAAACCAAAACGTAATAGGCCAACTATTCTACCCTCAAAGCCAACTATTGAAGTTTTTAATAATGTGAAGGATGCGACTGCAGAAGAATCAGATGATTCAGATGAGGATGTAGATGACTATCATGATCATCATGATCGATTTTATGACGATGAAACACGAATATTCTCGTTGAATCGTACAGATGCATTTGATGAACTATTGGGAAATGAAGAATTTCCTCTATTACCAGGCCGCGAACCGTCGGATGAGTCATATATACATCATCCTGCATTAACATTTTTAGGAAATGATTTCAATGAACCAACTACACCTGTATCAGAGTCATTTTCAGGAGGTAGTAGATATTTATTTCAAAATGATACAAATGATACCTCTAATGTACAAAGGATGGTGAGATCTATTACGAGTTTTTGGACAGATAAAAGAAATTTAGACCCGTTGGTTTATCCTTTGTAAGTTAAAAGGCCAATAAACATTTTATTTTGTAACACTACATTATCATTATAATTATTATTATTATCATTATTATATTAATCATTAATTATTTTTATTTATAAATTTATTTACGAAATAGAACTCCGACGGAACATGTGTTTCCTGAATCTTCGATTATTGTTAGAGAAGATGAACCAGGGTCAATAATAGCCTTTGCTTTGAGGTAAAATATTTATTAATACAATTCACGATAATTCAAATTGTTAATTAATATATTTTATTATTTAAAGTTCAAAAGAATATTTGGATAAATTGAAGACCATGCAACAAACCAATCAAAACCACAATGATATATCAGATGATCGATTTAGTTCAAAATCTTCTAATTTTGTTGCTGATGGAGACGAAAACAATGATGTAGAAGATTTTCTACTATCGCACATGAAATATCGTAAGGAAGAATAATAATTAATTTACTCTATTATTATTACGATCACTACTATCTATATTTTAATAATCTATTTTTTTCGTAGAATTTTCCCATAATTCTACAACTTTCGTCTGTAAAATTTATTGTGCTGATCAATTTGATTCGCTTAGGCGTAAATGCGGCTGTGAGAGTACTTACATACAGTCACTTTCACGATGTGTAAAATGGGATTCGAGTGGAGGCAAATCTGGTTCCGCTTTTCTTAAAACTCGAGGTATGTTTTATGTTTATAATTAAAAATAAATTGAATAAAAATATATGCAAAATACTTACAATTCATCTATTTAGATGATCGTCTGGTCATGAAGCAAATTTCTCGCAATGAAGTGGATGCGTTCCTAAAATTCGCTCCAAAATATTTTGAATATATGGCTAAGGCCTTAATTGATGTTAGTTGTATATATTTAATGTATTCTTGCCAATATATATATTTATACGTAAAATATTTAAACTGTAACTTATCGTTTATTAGCTTCCCACTGTATTAACCAAAATTTTTGGGTTTTATCGCGTTTCATACAAAAATGAGCAAACCGGAAAAAATTTAAATATCACTTTTATTGTAATGGAAAACCTTTTCTATGAGCGTAAAGTTTCAAAAGTAAGAAAGCACTTTTCTATCTGCTGGATATTGTATTATCCATGATAATAATGTTATATATGGATTTTTTGCCTTAAAAATGACTCTTGGGCATAGTAAACCATATGGTCAAAGCTTTAAGGCAAAAACCTATGTTTCAATTATTAATGTTGTTGGATGTTACATCAATTTTAATAGTAATTTTTGAATCCAATTATTTGAAATTTATAGATATTTGATCTAAAAGGATCCATGCGAAATCGTCATGTTCAGAGTACTGGGAAGGAAAATGAGGTTTTATTAGATGAAAATTTACTAGAACGTATGTGAGAAGCTTTGATATTACTCTTTATATTTGTTCAAATTTAATTATAATTTTTTTTCTTTTCGATATTTGTAGTAATTATGACCGAAAATCCAATATATCTTCGAGAACATTCAAAAAAACTTTTGTATGAATCCTTGTTCAATGATACGCTATTCTTGGCGAAGCATAATGTAATGGACTACTCTCTCTTAGTTGGAATCGATGAAGAAAATCATGAATTAGTTGTTGGAATACTTGGTGAGTATGTCCCAAATAATTTAATCAATTATTTTATTTACTTTTAATTAATTGTAATCATCTTAAAAAAGATTTCATACGGACATTCACATGGGACAAGAAACTTGAGAGTTGGGTTAAAGAATCTGGATTCTTAGGTGGTGGTGGGAAAGAGCCAACCATTGTTACCCCTCGTCAATATAAAAATAGGTTCAGAGAGGCTATGAATAGGTACATGACTATTGTTAAAGATATTGTGCAAAATAATTTAATTTGTACTAACATTATTGTTATTTTTGCAGATATTTCCTTATGGTTCCTGACCGATGGATTGACTATAAACCATATCGCAGAGCTGGTCGTATTAATTAATAATGGACATTTATTAAGAATGTCGTTAGGATGTTCAATATTTAAAAATTAATTTACAATGAACTGTATATATTATCGATTAAAGGTTCTAATACATACTAGGATTATAACACGATCTCTCCAATTATCTAGTTAGAGGATTATGTATATAATTAGTAAATTGTATTATTTATTTTCAAATTTTATGTACAATAAAATAAAATTTTGGTTAATTTTAGAAATTTAAGAACGATATTCATAATTTATTGCTCAGGATAATATAGTATAAAAACCAACTATATATTAAGTAAAATAATAGACACAACTATTACTTGGCATTACAAGATATAATATAACTCTTCTAACAACCAATAAAATTATAGCCTTATTAATTAAGAAAGGATGACTAGATAACCAAAAAGCTAAAGAAAAGTCAAAAATATTAGTTTGTTTTGAGCAATACAAATTTTTCAAAGCATTTAATTTTTTTGAAGAATTTTTATTTAAATGCAAAAAAATCTTTGATTCTGGATATATACAGTGCCCGACAAAAGTTTCCCCGCACCTATATCTCCTCATGGAGAGGTGCTACGATCTTGAAACTTTCAGAAAAGTTAGTACCTACATAGTTTAGATCGTGTATGTGTTTTGAAGATTTTATAATCACAAGA